TCTTCACATATTCATCAAGAATTCATCACTTGATCTTTGATTCTCCAAGAATTGAAGTTGTTTGAGCTTAAGTGTGTGTAATTCGCACCTTTACTGTGTGTGCAAGTTATGGGACTGAAAAYGRCCTAAAATRGGGTCTAAAATCGACTTTTCTAGGTTAAATCCAAGTTGGGTCGGGTTTGACCCGCCTAAGTACCCATTTTGACCACTAAACACTAAAAATAATATAACTTTTCGCTCGGAGCTCCGTTTTCAATGAGGTTTTTGCCTACGCGTTTGTAACGAAATAATCTACAACTTCCAATAAAAATATTCCAGAAAAGATCTTATTAAAAAAAATTGGTTTTACGAATCYATAGCTTAATTGTTGACGTTTTGACTCGATTTCTCCAATTTTCTCAATCTAACTCCGATTGGGATGAAATTTTCTAAATCTTCTCATATACTCCAAGAAAGTATGACCTTAAAATTTCATCCCCAAACTCCCACTAAATCATTGGTTACCTTATATGGCCACTACTAATACACGTAGTAAWATTTCAACATGCTTAACATTTTCTCRCATGTAAGCACATAATATCCTTCGTAAAATGTAAATTAGGCGCACTTAGCAAAAAATATGGGAAATTATAATTGGGATGTTACAAATACCTCCTCCTTTTGAGGATTTCGTCCCCGAAATCATTGTCGTGTGAACAAAGAAGGGTATTTGGCCTGCATTTCATCTTTACGCTCCCACGTACAATTTGGTCCCCTATGGTGTTTCCACTTGACCAACACCAAGTCCACTTCCTTATTACGTAGGTTCACCTTTCTCTCGTTTAGAATGGACTCTGGTCCTTCAATATATCTTAATTTTTCATCTACTTTGACTTCTGATAAGGAAATTGTCTCCTCATGTTTACCCAAACATTTACGTAAGTACCCGACATGAAACACATCGTGTATCCTCGTAAGTTCCTCTGGTAATTCTAGTTGATAAGCCTGTTTCCTGATACGCTCCAATATTTTGAACGGGCCGATAAATCATGGACATAATTTACCTTGTTTCTGGAATTGAAGCACTCCTCGCCAAGGAGAAACTTTCAGCATTACCATATCACCAACCGAGAACTCGATTGGCCTTTTGCGGCGATCCGCATAAGACTTTTGACGATCTTGGGCAGCTTTCATTCTATCACGAATAAT